ACCTGCCTCCCAGAAAAGAAAAGCTAGTGACAGAACTGGTCACCACCTTTTCTGCCTGGGCTGAGGGCGCAAATCTCCCCCAGAATAAAGCTGATCACCTTTCAGTGGCACCTCCAGACATGGATGTGAACTATATCCATAGTGTGGATTATCCTAATTCTCCACTCCACCACTATTACTAAAGGTGAGGCAATCTTACATACGCTTGCCTGGAATCCACAGTATCTAAGGGAATTCTGAACTACCACTGTTCCCCCCGAGTTGGGTTGCCTTCACAAATGGTAGGTTGTTTTTGTCTTTATATGAAGCTGCTCTCTTCACTCCCCTAAACACATTTGAAAAAGAGATAGATACCTTACCACTCTCATACGATCACTGTCAAGGGAATATAATAATCCGAGGAAAATGTGCTTCTAAAGCAGACACCAAACACTGTTTCTGCAATGCTTAATTAGAAACTGAAACCTGCTGCACATTCCGCAATCTGCTGACATCAAGGGTGAAGTCAAGCATTCATGGTCAACATCGTAACTTGGAGTGCATGCTGCATGGCTCGTGCAGTGTGTTTGGCAATTCTACACAATTTCATGCGAGCTTTGTGCCTGTTGCGGTATTCGCCACTGCACTGCAATATCACATGTGTGTGTGTGAGCACATGCATGTGTGCGCGCGTGTAAATATATGGATATAAACATACAGATAGGATGTTGCAAAAGCTAGACCTAACAGAGAATGTATTCGTTGACAGGAACTTAGACTTCATGGATCTGATCATGTAGAGTTTTGTCTACAAAGCTTACACCATGGTCTATTTCTTAGTGCTCCATTTGCTGCTGCCTGCCTGTGTTTGCGGGAACTGAGCATGGTGTGGCATGTGTGATAGTGCGGCTATATGTTCATGGGAGCATGGAACAGTGGAGTTGAAGCCCCGGGGGCCTTGAGGCCATTGGCTCCTGCTTAGTGCAGGGCCCCAGATTAAAGCTCGGGAAGTGGCTGTACACTGAGTCACAAGACGGGTCTATCTGGCCCTGTACTGTTGACCCAGATGGGCAGCTGCTCTCCAGGGCAGATTTTCCAGCCCTTGCGGAGCACCAGGGACTGAGCCCGAGATCTCCATGCAAAGCCAGTGTTCTGCCTCTGTGTTATGGCCTCTCCCAGGTAATTCACCTTGTTGCTGTGAGTTCATTAGCTTCCTCTCTCTCTCTCTCTCTCTCTCTCTCTCTCTCTCTCTCTCTCTCTCTCTGTGTGTGTGTGTGTGTGTGTGTGTGTGTGTGTGTGTGTGTGTGTGAGAAACTCTCTACATTCTGTTTGTTGGTTATCTGATCTTTGCCTTGCATGCTGCAGAAGTGCCAGGTATAAGAGCAATTGTTAGCAGTTCGACCACTCAAGACCATTCACTCTTCGCAGGATGAACATTTGGCAGGATTCCTTGGCTAACGTCATGCCTGACCCTTTCACTGAAATGGATAGCACTCAAAACTAACGAGGGATTATACTCTTACTTTTTCCTTTGCTATCCTCACATGGCTAGCCTTGCTGGCCCTTATAATATCACATGCACACACAGCACATTCTCTATATCCTCATATAAATTGCCTGTGGATTGCTAATACTTACACCACAATAAATATTAGTCTTACATGTTTCCTAGGACTGTATTTTGTTTTGTTTTGTTTCAGGAGACTTAACACAAAAGGACCTTCTGGGATTTGTTTCACTGAATGAGTTCAAACAACAGAAGCACCCACACAAAAGGACTGAGGATGAATTGAGTGTGAGCTATTGCTGAGCTCCCAACATGGGTTATGGTGTGTCTGAACCCAGGCACACTAATAAACCATTGTTTACTAAGTAGGAATATACCTGCAATTCACAACCCAACAGCAAATCATGGGTTGTTTGTGATTAACAAACCACAGTTTCTTAGCATCAGTGAGTTCAGAAAACATGATATAACCATGAAACAACCACCAGTGGATCAACGATGTGGTTGTTTGATAACTTCCTTAAAGTCAGCCTAGATACAATGCCATTGAATTCAGTTGTCAGGAAAAAAGAGTTTGCATACCCATGTATCTATCAGCTGTGAGATCTGTGACAAATGACCATCTAGTTGAGAAAGATTGCAGAAAACTGGCACCCCACACAGTGTTTTCATCGTTTCCTTCAAGAAATGACATTTTCATGTTACTTTGCTTTCAGGAGAATGGGAATGTGCAAAGATGAATTGGGTCCTTCTCTTACCATCCTCCTGAAAGGGGCTGTAAGAAGTGCAGAGTCCAACTTTAATAATGTTACCAAATTCCCCTTTGAAGTGGGGGTACCTCCCTCTTCAGAGAGAATAGAAACTCTGGCTGATAGACCATACAGGGCTTAGTTAAACTATGAAATATGCTACCTTAGGCTGTGTGATGATCACCAGCCTGGAAATTGTGGGAGGGGGGATTCCCGAAGGTTATCCATGGCTACTAGTTCCATGGCCAATATGCCACCTCCAGCATCAGGGGCAGGATGCCTATACACACTATGTGCTGGGGAACATGGGCAAGAGGGTGCTGTTGCATTCACGGCCTTCTTGTGGGTTTCCCATGGTTGGCCACTGTGTGAAAAGAAGGCTGGACAGGACGGACCCTTGGTCTGATCCAGCCCAGCTGTTCTTCCTGTTCTTAAGCACAAAGCCTAGTAGATTATGTCCACAGTGTTCCTTCTGTCCGTTTGGGAGGCTACCCAGTCAAAAAATGAGATTAAATTAGTCTGACAAGATTTATTTTTGATAAATCCATACTGGCTTTAATTATTCACTGCATTTTCTTCAAGGTGCTTGCAAACTGATTTTTTAATATATCGCTCAAGAATTTTTCCAGGGATTGATGTCAGACTAACTGGTCTGCGGTTCCCGGGTCATCTCCACCCCATAACCCTTTTTGAAGATGGGGACAAACTTAGCCCTTCCCCAGTTCTCTTGTACTTCTCCTGTTCTCCAAGATTTATTCAAGATAATAGCCAGTGGTTCTGAGCGTTCCTCTGCTAGCTCTTTCTTTTTCCAAAGTCCTAGGGAAAAAAAGCCAAATGCATTGATACAAGATGGGGAATATGTGGCTCAACAGAACTGAAGAAGAAAAAGGCCTTGGAGTTCTTGTGGACAACAGGCTAAATATGAGCCAACACTGTGATACAGATGCAAAAAGGGCAAATGCTATTTTGAGATGTGTTAATAGAAGTGTCACTGCCAAATCGTGACAAGTAGTAGTTCCCCTATATGCCTCACCAGCCAGACATCATCTGGAATACTGTGTCTAGTTCTGGGTACCAAGAACTAAGACACGTGCAGAAAAATTAGAAAGTGTCCAGAAGAGAGCAACAAAAATGATCCAGGGTTTGGAAACACCATCCTATGAGGAGATTGAGAAGTGGGCAAGATCTCTTCTTGCTGATGCCAGAGCATAGGACACAGAATAATCAATTCAAGCTGCAACAACCCAGTATCAGGAAAAGCTTCCTCCCTGCCAGAGCAATACAACTGTGGAACCAGCTGCCTAGAGAGGTTATGGGCCGTCCCCCACTAGAGAATTTCAAGGTGAAATCGGACAGCCATCTGAGTGGGATGGTGTAACATGGTGTTCTGCAACAGCAGGGGATTGGACTCCAACTCTGCTACTCTCTACACATCTGATGCTAGCTGTACTGTGTGATGGCCTTTACAGTTCCCAGGCTGGGGGTGCAGGACAGAAAGATTTAAAGTAGGTATGACATTTGCAGGCAGAAAATTAGTATCAAAGAATTGGGTTGGTGGTGACCAAGAAAAACAAATGCAACCACTGCCACATTTCTGGATTTGAATAGTATGGCCCTATATGACTGGCACAGCTATTCACATCCCAAGAGGACTACATGCAAATTGTGCTAGAACTTATTTGGCAGCCCAGTCTTAAGCAGGTGTTTGCCTATGGGAGGTAAATTTGCACCCTAGGCCTAGCAAACGCAATGCAACTTCTGTATAGGCTGCCATTCAAAACTCAATTAAATAAAGCACACTTAAGAGTAAGGGGTTTTTTGTTTTACCCCTTTCTTCCCAGCTCGCTCCAACACTCAGGAGCTTGCATTCATCTTGTTTGCAATACACTGCATCTTCTAGAAATTGCAATCCAGTTTCAGTACAGGTGTTGGCACGTGGATCTCTGAACAGATAAAGGAGTTGCTCAACAATAGAAACAGAGTTACAGGATGTATTGAAGTACTGGCTTTAAACATCCATGTTCCTAGATGGTTTGGAGTCCCTTTACCTGAAAGATCATTTCCTTGCAGAGATCTTACTGAACCCCACAATCACCCTCAGCAGCCTTCCCAAGGTACTCTTACCAACTGAAGTGACTGTAAAGTGATCTCTTTGGCAATAGGTGAAGACATTTTTGTTTGCCCTGCTTTTTAAAAATGTACTTTAGATTGTAGCATGGATGCTGCCTTTTACTTTTGTTCCACTTTGGACTGATTCTGTTTTAAATCCATAGTTAAAACAGGACATTACTGTATCCCATCTAGATTTTGTGGTGTATTCAAGATATTGGGCAATGGGTGGTGTGTTAAGTACAACTGACGCTATATGAAGTCTTACTTATGTATGGTTCACCTTCCCAAATATCCCAAGACTGTGGCATGGCTATGAATTTGCGGCCCTGGGGATTATTAGACCATGCTGCTTCACTATTGACTGTATTAGCTGCACTCCAACATCCAAAGGTCCAAGTTGCTCACCAACATAACTTTTCCCAGTGGGAAAATCATTCTTTATATATCATTCTTTGTCCTTTAAAGAACCATTTCATACATTCCTAAAGTGACCACCCCACACTTTAATATATACCTTCAAGGTCATGGCACACCTATTATAGTCTATCGGGGGGGGGTCTCCTGTTCATTACTGGGGGCCCTGAACATCTGCCCATCCATACTGTTACCAAGTAGCATTGGGTGCCTCTTGACATACTGAGTAAGAGCACAGATGGTTATTAGAAACATTTTTATTAGAAAAGTAAAAAACCAAGTTGCATAGGAAGTCTTCAAGAACTTGAACATCAAGTGTATTCCATGTGAACGGTAATCAATGGAAGCACTACAGACCAACAGAGGGTTCCTGCCCCCCATCCCAACACCTTTCCAGCATCACCTCACACCTCCCTCAGACATCAGGATTCCTAAGCATGCCAGGGCACAATCCACCTAGTGCCCCGTGCCTCCCACAAGTCTCATTCAGACAAACGGTTGCACAGTGGTGCCCAGTGGATTAACACTCCCGCATTCATTCCGAAGTCTTTATTTAGCTGCCCTCTTGTAGCTGCCCTTGTGTCAGTAGTGGAGCTTCTTGTCTGTTCAAAACATCGCTACACATTCTTGGTCCCTTCAGACCTCAACACTTATCAGCCACTGTCCACACACCTCACCTTTCAGGTATCCATTGATTACTATCTATTTTTCCTTTTATTAAAAAAGATCAACAAGGAAAAAAAAAAAAAGAGAAAGATAACCTTCATCTACCCTTGTGGCAGTCCTGCTGCTGTCCTGTCATCAGCTACCAGGAAAAAATACTGCTAAATCAGTAAAGAGAAAGTTGACCCACAGTCAGATGAGGATTTTAAAGCTAACACACTGTAACCAGGCCTACCCAGGAGTGGGCTTTTTTGTCAGAATTACTAATAAGCAAAGTGCCATTTTTATTCTCAAACCTTGCTTTCTGCTTCCTCTTTGGACTACTTGCCCAACTATCTTTGTAAATCAAACTTCCATCTAACCTAACCTACAGTGACCCAGAGGGTGGCCACAGCTCAAATCAGCTTATGTTCCTTAGCCCTTTAAGTAACACACCTCCCCAGTTTTGTCTGGTGCTGGCCACCATCTTAAAGAGAAAATGCTCAGTCGATCCACCAAGAAAGTAGGATGACACTTTCAACACTCCTCTATGAGCAACTGTTCAGAGCTATAGAGCTTCTTTTTAATGACCCTGAAACCAGTGCTGAGCTTCAGCGATTGGCTGAAGCCGGGAGAACTGGAGCTAAAGAGTCCCTGGATCTTAGGCCATAGGCGGGACTCCAGTCTTAAAACAAGCGTCAGCTGGAAAGTAGGCACTAGGCCCGGGTCCACAGCGATCTGCCCCACACTGTGGCACCCCTTCCCTTGCTCCACACACAGGTCTATGAGGGCCCCTCTCAAGCCGCAAGGCTCTCTATAGGCCAAGTGAAGGAGCTCCTTGCCAACCTGGGTGACCAGCTGGCTTGGCATGAAGAGCTTGGAGGAACGGTGGGAGTTGATCTTGGCTTTGTTCAGGCTGACTTGGATGAGCTTCATGAGATTGGCACACAGGAGTTCATCCTCTGGATCATTTAACAAGTCGAAGTCTGGCAAGGACACCTCATCCAGATACTCCTGTGCATCTGAAAAGGAAAAAATGCAGCCTGTATCTCTGACTTGGTTTGGTCATACACATGCACACGCAAGAGCCTCCCTCCCTCCCAAAATCAGAGGACTCTAAATTGGCATAAACAAATTCTAGTCCTATAAAACTAAGGCAGCCTTTTCTCTGGATGGCCCTCTGAGAAAATTGGTGGACAGGCAACAAAGAGAAGCCCCTGTCTGGCTTGCCCATTAAATCTCTCGCGGAAAACTCAATTCAAGACACATTCATTCTGAATATTATCCTCAGCAAGACATCACACTGTTGCCCCCCCCCTTTCCACTCACTGGACTTCATTAAAGGCTGCCAATAGTCCAGCTTAAACATGCCCTTGCAAGTAAGTTTAAAGGGAGTTTAAGGAAACATGTCCAGGATTGCAGCTTAAGAGCTAATTTTCTTCTTTAAAACTGTGTACTTGTGAGAGGCTGTAGAGCAGCTGAAGGAAGTATGGTCAAACTCCTTACCCATTTCTAGACCGACACCCCCGCCTTGCACATGAACATCCTTCATGTACATCCTACTAGTTACCAGGAGTGGGTGCAGGGCTCCCACTAACAGCCCTGTAGCTTCTTCCCATCCTAAATACCTCTCTGAAGGCCCACAACAGCCGCTCTCCAACCGGGAGACCTGTTGGGCTGTAACTCCACGGCATGTAGAGGGCATCAGCTTAGGGAAGGCTTTTAGGGGTCTCTCTCTGTGTCACTCACTCATACACTCACACACACACGTGTCTTACCTCCTTCCGAGCTCAAGCTGCTGTCGAGGGACTCGCAATCGGAGCTCTCCAGCCTAGCCGTGCGACTAGCCGCTTCTTGGTACGCGCTTTTCTCCCAGGCGAAGGCAGGCGGGTTTTCCCTCTGCTCCGGAATTGGAGGAAGCGTAGAGGAGAAGCTGTCCCACGAGACTGGCATCTTTTCTTTCTTGCTTCTAACCCCGCGTTAGAATGGGCACTTTTTACAGCGAGTTAAAATACAAGTCCCTGTTGGAATCAACGCCCGATGAGACGGCTCTGAACAGGGAGAGAAAGCACCGGGAGAATGATTAGGAAAGCGAATCAACGTCGGGACTGCGGTTTCTGTCTATAGCCCTATAAAATTAGTGCCGTGTGTTAACAAAAGGGCAGTCCCGCAACTCGACCGCAGACAATGCCAATCCCCTCCCAAATGGCTCGCTTATTCCACCCCTCCGAAACGGTCCCCCTACAAACAGGTACTTACCAGCTTCAGAGTGCCTGTCGAGGTAGCAAAAGGAATAAGGCACCCCGGCAGAATCGCAGCAACCTCGGGACGAACGCAGCCGCGTCGCGTCGCGTCTCGCCCCACCTCCCTCCGCTGCACTTTCGTTGGCACTGCAGAGACAGCCCCCCCCATGTACCGCTTTAAATACTCAGGTCATGAGGAAACCCCGCCCCTTCTCCGCGCTCACCCCTTCCAGCTCGCTCACCTCACCGCTGCTCATTGGCTAAAAGCAGGAGGGCGGCTGGTCCAATAGTAAGCGAGCGCACGTTCGCAACGTTCTCTCCTGCCCGGTTACAGCAGCTGGAGACACACCCCTTTTGGTTGTGGACGGGGATGGAGCTTAAGTTAGTGGGGAAGACGAACGCGAAGTGGGGAGTCGCGGGGTAGGGGCAGGTGGGGGTGGAGTATTGCGTACAGAGCGACAGGCTGGGAAGGGGGTCAGAGGCAGAAGCTGCAAGGCGAACGGAGAAAAACGCTCCACGGATTCTTTTAATATTACTCCAACTCGAGTCTTTTTCATCTCAGTGGGTCTGCTCTAAGTAGGACCAACACTGGAATCATTTGGCACCTCTCTCGTTTTTGCGTATTGCAGCCCACTTTGACCCCGGTACAGCTCCCAGCTAGGTGCTGTGGGAGTTATTCCCACATAAGCATATGCCTATGGTTCCAGTAGAAATGGGGAATGCCCAGAAGAGTATTCCTGGGCGCATGTACGTGCCAATAAAATCCGACTTGGGTGTGTGAGAGAGAAATTACACGTACAGATGCAGCCTTAATAGACATGCTAGGTAGGCTGATGGAAGTTGTAGTGCAAAGCATCTGGATGGCACCAGGTCAGGGAAAGCTTGCACGGTAAGCAAACCTTAGGATCGAGTTGTCATATATACATAGGATCCCAAAACTGAAGGAGCGAGGCTGCCCCAAATCCTCAGTCCCATCCCAACAGCCAAAATTAAATAGTGCATAAACTCATTTTTTTTCAAAGGGTTTAAGCATGCTTTGCTCTTGATTGTAGGGTGCACTGAAAATCAGTAGCGCCTACCTTCCTTCTAATAACATGTATTAGGATCTGTGAGTTTAATCCACACAGATGTATACCTGTGTTCAGAATCTGATAAGTGTATCCTTCCAGAACACCTTTAATATTTCTAAGCCTAAATTCTGTTCCTGATTTAAGAGCAATCTTAGTGGCTCAAACTTGAACGCAGCGCACCACCTCCAGTGAAAACTGAGTGGGGGATAGAATCGAGCAAAGCTCTCCACCCCGTCATTTGAACGGGCTTCGTATAGTGTTTCCACGAAAATGATAGTTGCCTTCTTACAATATTGTATTACGATTTTAAGCAGTGAAATAATGGCCTTCTGCGTCACTCAAGTAAACCAGCCTGTGTTTTTGCAAAGATCCGTTTCTTTGGACGGGAATGGAGCTGAAGTTTGCTGGCTTGCAGCAACAACAAAGCTTCAAACATTTATTCTAGTAATCAGTTTCGTGGCCTATAACTCACTTCATTAGAGATCATGAAAGTTGGTGCCAGAATAAATGTGCTAGTCTTTATGGTGCCACAAGCAACGTCGGCCTTGTTTTCTCCAAAAATTTTGTGAGCGGTTCTTTTTTTTGAGGGGGGGGTTGTTTTTTGAGTGTGTCAACTTGACGACTCCAAAGCTTCGCCCCATAATTACTTGAATGCCCGATTAGCTGGAGCGCGTGTGTCTACCCCGTTCCGGTAGTACACAATCAGGCGAGGCGCAAGGGAGAATGTGGAACAGCTCCACCAACACAGCTTCAAAGCAGGTGGGCCTCCGCGTTGCACTCCGCGTCTCGGAGGGGGCAACACGGATCGCGTCCTGGGTTTCGTGGGTTGACCAAACCAACATTCACACGAAGAGCTTACTCCTGAGCCCGCTTGACGTCAGCCAGCTAAGCCTGGGTGCATGCGCGGGGCCTCACTATCGATTGCCCATTGTGGGAGCTGATAAGCGCGATTTGGTTGCAGTTCCTCGGGCTGGGGCAGACGGTGAACTCTGCACGTATCAGACCTAATCGCTTGAGTCGAACCATCCAGCACCAGCCAGGGAGCTCGCGCGGCAGCATCCGCTCGGTCCTAGCGCCCGCCAGGATCCCGGACGCTTCGTGCAAGTTTCTTGAGGAATTGCATCAGGCGCGCGCGATAAAGAAAGAGCCAGTGCGCGCTCGGGCTGCTTGGCGAAGGGAGCGACCGAAAGGGCTTGCAAGAATGCAGATCGTTTCATCAGGCAAAAAGGAAACCCCCCTCAACTAGATGGCCTTTTGAGAGGTCTGTACGTCTCACAGCCACTTTCCTTCGAGGAAGGAGAAAGAAGGAAAGAAGGCAACAATGGATTTAAATAACGAGGGCCGGTGCAGTGGCGGCCTCACCTTGACTGGGACTTTACCGATGAGCCAACCCCCCCACGAAAAACTCAGACTTGCTTTAGGTCAAGTTTGGCACTGCTCAGACTTTCTGACTCACAGGGTGGCGTGAGCGACTTTTGAATTCCCCCAGAAGTTTTCGCCAAGAGGGATGCTCGCCAAAGCAAAACTAAAACCGCCCGGTGGCCACGATGGTGGGAAATGGTCGCTTTTGTGCCCTTCCTCCGCCTCCTCTATTCTCCATCTGCTGATGGTGGAGCTGGGCGACACGTCCCCTCGGCTGAGCATCGGCGAAACTGCACAATCAGTGGCTTTGAATCAACACAGCGGTGGGGCGGATGGGGAGGCTAAGAGGTCAAAACTCGCCTAGACAGAGCTTGGTCGTGAGAAAGCTTCCCCAGAGCTGCACCAAATTTCATGTTCAGGAATGTATTTCACATCTCTGGCCCACTGTGGTGTGCATTGGTGACTTTTAGCCAGTCTTAACCCAACATTTAACCCAACCTACCTCGCAGGGTGGTTGTTGGGAGGATAAAATGGAGCAATGTAAGCAGCTTTGGGTTCCTCCCAAGAGAAAAAAGGTGGCATATAAATACAATGTAATAATAATGAATAATGAAACACACAGTTTCTGCCCTCTGCCCTCTGCTGTTGTATTTTGTTTGCCACTGTAATATGGTTTATATGCCTTTAAGCTTTGGAGTTTTCTCTACACCCCCATGCTCAATCTGAAATAACATCTCTGAATGTAGGGTGTGTAGAAAGAAAGGCAACCAAACAACTGTTCCAAAAGCAATCAGCTAGAGAAGTCAAAAGAAAATCTAACTGGAATCTATTTGTCCAAGTTAGTGTTGATGGGAGTTGCTTTATCCCCCCCCCCCCCCCCCCCACTCCCAAGAGGCTGTTGAAAGGCTAAAGCATTCACTGCAAACTATAGCCCAACATGCCTGGGCAAATCTTTGGGAAATGGGTTGAATCTATTCAGGATTTGCTTTAGCCTGCAAATGAGTACTTTTGTTTGACCAGCCCCTGCCCCCCCCCCCACTCCCAATGACATCAAGGTTAAAGAGAAATTCAGATCATCTAATTGTAATGTTTAACCATCCTCTTCCTCTTTCGTTTAGCATTTTATGAGTAGCCAAAGTGCTTAACCCATATTACTCTGTCATCCTTACAAGAACACTGTAAGGTATGCCAGTATTAATACTCCCACAATGCAAATGTAAGAGGCACTGGTGGTGCTGATGACAGAGAAACAGGCAAGGATACCAGCTGGCTTAAAGCTTATGGCGCTTACCAGTGGGGTGAGAATGGAGCTGGGGATTTCTCTGCTCACACTCCTGAGTCATTGTTCTGCCACCACTCCAGGCAAATCCCAAGGGACTGCATTTCTCAACAAAGACAGTGTCTATGTATTCGTTGAAAGATTTACATACTGCGTTTTAAGGTGTGTTTTACTTACAGGATTAAAAGAAACCTCAACCAAACAATAATGAGAAGCATTTCTACTTCTGACTGCCCTTTTTAGGGTTGTCCTTGAGATTAGCCCTTCACCAGGTTGCTGTCAGATATACTGCAATAAGCACTTTGTGGATGGCTCTAGATTCTGAAAGCTAGATCAGCTGGAAAAGGAAGGGCTTGTTTCACTGCCTTCAGCTCCGAAAGTGTCTCTCCTGCAGTTCCCATCTTTTAGTGTATGTTGTGCAGCTCACCATCCTTGGCATTTCATGCTCTGAATGCTATAATACCCAGGGATTAGGGCCAGTGTGTGGCAGTGTCTACAGAAGCCCTTCCCATTCCTCCCAAAGTGCTGAACTACAACTCCCATAATCCCCCAACCAGTATGTGAGGACATCAGAGCCTGGACAAGGACCGGTTAGACCAATGTGCAATTCCTCACTCAGTTTTGAAGCCCACTGTCTGACCTTGAAGACGGCTACACCTCTAGAACTAAGCTACCTCACTGGGTTGTTCTGCAAATAAACGGGAAGAAGTGTTATTTATATCATCTTGAGTTCCTTGCAGGAAGGGTGGGCTGTAAATTACTTTCAGATGTGAAGACATGTCTTTTCCATTTAGCCTTTGAAATTTTGGAAATAAATACATGCTGAGTTACAGAAAAAAAAAAATTAACTTTCCTATGAATGGTAAGAATATGCTAATGAGAATCATGCCAGACATTGTCCCAAGAAATATGAAAGAATTATTTTAATATGTGATAAAGGTAAATGTAAAGATTTCCCCTGGACGTTAAGTCCAGTCATGCTCATCTCCGTTTCCTAGCCGAGGGAGCCAGCGCTTGTCCGCAGACAGTCTCCGTGGTCATGTAGCCGGCATGACTAAACACCGAAGTGCACGGAACGCTGTTACCTTCCCACTGAAGTGGTACCTTTCTATCTACTTACATTCGCATGCTTTCGAACTGCAAGGTTGGCAGGAGCTGGGATGGAGCAACGGGAACTCACCCCCATTGTGCAGATTTGAACTGGCAACCTTTCAATCAACCAGCACAGCAGCACAGCAGTTTAAACCACTGTGCCACCTGCATCCCTTTTAATATATGATAACAGCAGCTAAAGTCACAATTGCAACAAGATGGAAAGCAGAAGACTGCCCAACCAGAGAAGACTGGAAAAATAAGCTAGCAGAATATACAGTAATGGCAAAACTAACCAGTAATATAGAAGAATGGTCAGAGAGAGAGAGAGAGATACAATTACAGA